TTGGGCAACAAAATTGCCAATTTGCAAAGGAAAATGTTTGACTACTTGTAACAACATTTCAAGATTTTGAATTCCCACTCCCTTTGACAAATTTACCATAGACATTTTTAATAAAAAAGTGAGATTCCTGTACTCATGGATGTATGTCTGAGTAATAAGTAAGAATCGGCTAGGGGCTGTAAAACATACAAATCGATCAAATCTAGCAATACATTGGTGCACCGCCGACTGAGTGGCATTTATCCCACTCCTGACTCCCTCCCACCCATGTCTAAATATCAGGCTTAATTTCTCTCTTATCAACTCTGTTCATGATATATACTAAACCTTTGTTTGTCTATTGCTCTGTCAATATGTGTCCTTTGATAAAAACCCACTAGCACAATGTATGCCAACTGATTTTCGAACTAGTCAATCAAAAGGGTTTTGTGATAATGGTACCCATGGAATTATGAGGGAGAGACCAATTGACGTCATGTATTGTTTACTTAAGATTTCACTCTGTGTGCTTTGATGCTTACTACCTTTAAAAGAATAAAAAAAGAGATACATTAGAAGGCAGAGGGGTGTAAATATGTCTATTTTTAACATAGTATATAATGTTTATTCTGGGAAGAGGCAAGGTGAAATTCAACTAAATTAAAAATGAGAAGAAAGGGCTTAGAAAAAAAAAATCTCTCGGGTCCATGTAAAAACTAAGTTTCTAAAAGAAGAAAAAAAAAGAGACTATTATTAATGGTGAATCATTCAAATTATAATGCAAGATGTTATAATTCTGTGGTAACATATGTTCTGCTGTACAATCTCATTTTATATGCACACACGCTGTCTATTTATAATTATTTTATTTATTATTAAATTGAAGAGCTGGATACTGGCTGAAAGTATATGCAGTAGTTGGTCACAAGAGGGCAGCAGATTGGTTTGATTTGGTTTTCATGATGATTTTCCCCTGAGGCTAATTTGGTTAAATACACACCATGTATATATACAGTCAAGAGCTGTAATGATGCAATCTTGTATTATATTTCTTTAATTATGTTTTTTTATTTCATGAGTGAAGCAATATCGCTGGGTGAATTGCATCAAGATCAATCTTAAAGATAATGTTTATTCTTGATAAGCTTTTCATCAGATTTATTTACTTTTAGATAAAAAAGAATAACAAAATACTTGTAATACTAAGATGATGTTAGGTTTTTTTTTCATGTGGAAAATTAATAATTGAGAGTTTAAAAAAAATAATCATATTGTTTAGTTATTCCTTTAATTACAGTTTTATTGAAGCAGGGTTGCCTCTTCAGTTTAACAAAATGCTATTCCTTAGGGTCCTGAACAATAACCAACAATATACATACAACAATTACAGACTTGATGTGTATAAATTGTATACATAAGTAACATATTATAAATGCAAAAATAAATAATCATAACCCTGAATCTAAATCTTAATAATCTAAATCTAAATCTAGCCTGGAAGCAATTTTGCCATAACATGTGTTTAATAACCAAATGCCCATATTGTAGAGGTCAAGGTGGAAGACGAAGAGAAATAAAGGGAAAAGATGAAGGATCTAATTAAATTCATACTTTGCATGGAGAAATATACAGTATACTTAGAGACCTCTAATCATGTTTTTCACCCTTGAATCAATATGATTCTTGATAGTATTGTTTGTCTAGTTTGACTTAGAAGTGACTTTGTATTAGGATGAAATTTATTAAAGGTAAAGACCAGTTATGGTCATGCGATTGCATTGTGAAAGAAACATTGTGGAATCGATCAGAAAAGGTTGATCATCTAGCATCTAGCATCTACAAGGTTCTGGAATCATCAAAATGATAAGAAATTTGGCCCATTCTTCGTTAAGTTACAAGCACTATACACAGAAAGATGTATATATGGGACTACCATATATCTCTCACAGACCATGAGAGAAACAAATTTACCAAATATATGAATTAGTAGGCGGTTTCCCGGCAAATTTTTTATCATCATGTATTAGTCAAAACATATTCTTTCACATGATTGGTAATGAGAGCTTCCATTTCATTTTTTGAAATTGGGGCGTTTCCAATACTGGTCTTTACCTTTAATACGTCTGGCTTATCTTAAGATTAATTATTAAAGCCTCACTGTCCTACTTGTAGCTACTTGCTCCCTCTATATAGAAAACTTCCCCAATCGGTGCCTGTTGGTCCCTCATGATCCTCTACTCCTTATGTTATTTGAGAGCTGAGTTGATGAGATAGCCACCTGTCAGTGACCTCGCTGTGTGGTCTAATCCCTCCTAGCTTTAAGATATGGAACAGCATTTTTTTAAAGTAGTACTTATTGTGACTCATGAGATATATATATTTGTTGTTTTATAAATTTTTTCTTTACATGTCTGTTTGGAACCAAAAGGTCATTAACTCATATACTTATTCAACTGAGTAAATGCCCATCTGGCTCCGAACAGACAATATTTCTCATTCTTCAGCCAATACAAAAGAGTAATTTCTAGGAATCGATACATATTACAAACAATTAGTGATACTCGACACCTCAATTATTACATTTATTGCCAGAGGGTACAAAGAAGGCTCTACAACTTTTTATGATACGCAAGCATAATATTTCATCGCTTTATTGCTATCTTGATGAAATTTATTGTGATGATCTTATCTCTCTACAGTCATTAATATGTAATTGAAGTAGGACAAAATATGAACTGTTCATAAAGCGCGGGGTTTTCCCCCTCTCGCACTTGATGTCTTGGTGACGACAGTTGAAAAATATTTGGCTCAAAATGGGAATAATATTTTGCGTAGTTCATCTAAAAATACTTGACAGACTTCTAAATCGTAGTATTTGTTGTTCAATTTCATTTCAAGTACTGAAGTGTAGATCACGGGGCAAAAAGTAATTGTGTAATGGTGTCTACTCTTAAAATGTCATCAAAGGCAAGTGACCCCACAATTTTTAACAAATAATCTGTAAGAAAAAAGGGTTCCCCCCCCCCCCCTGCGTTGATCACAACTTCAACAGATGGTATAGAGTGATTTCCTCACATAAAAGTTACTTGTGAGCCCTAGTTTTTTTTTAAAACTACCTAATGATCTTTTGAAGCTCATGTTCAGTTTCGGTAGCAAAAAGGAAATTGGAGAGAAAAGAAATAGTCTCATGTTGCATCAAAAGATACATGTATTAGATCAAAGGAAAATAGTAATTTCTGATTATATTTTTACAGAGCAAATGGGAGGGAACCTAGCAAAACGTGTCACAGAGTTTCTTTTTTTTAAATCAGGTTTTACCAAGCTCAAACTTTAAATAACCTGTTCCTCTCATTTTCCTGCTTCTATTAAAACGAACTTAACATCAGGGTGGACTTCCCCTTTAAACCATCAATTCCTGAAGCATCATCATACAGGTATTTGTTATTCATGTCAATCATGTGCTTTGTACTTTTCTCTGACGGCATCTCTACCCCGGCGCCAGAGTGAGGGGAAATCCCACTCCTTCGTCCTTTCTTCCCTGCCAATGCCATCGCCGTGGCAACCCCGTCGCTCGGCAACACTTACCTCCTTGCATACAGATTACCATGGCAACACTCTTTCTTTATTGTTTGCTGTTGGAATATTTGAGATTTAGAGCAGACTGATGCAGTCAAAGAAGATGATCAGAATTTCATTAATTTTCTTGAAGTTACTGTGGTTTTGTATTCTAGAGTATGCGTGCTATTATTGCACAGATTGCCAAGCAATTTTAAGTTCATTGTGGCTCTCTTCATTTGGTTTTGTACGAAAAATATTATCATTTATTAAAGCATATTTTGTAGTTTCTCCATAAAATGTTTCTTGGTTTTTCATTATTCTGCCCAAGTCACATGACCTCTTCTTTATTGTTCTCTCATAACTGGTTATTTTTTTTTTTACTACTCTGTCTCTTTTCTGCCATTTTTGTTTGCCTTTTTAACTGCCATTTTTTTTTCTCCAGCTATAGCTAAAATGAGGGTTTAATGGGTTTTCATTGTGTACAACAATTGTTCTGATAATTAGTATGGCCTTTCTAGTATGTTAAGCTCATCTAAACTTCAATAGATTTTTGTTTGTGATATATCAAGGAAAAAGGTCAGTTCTTTTGTGAGATTCTTATCAAAAAGTATGTTTTCATGACATGATAAAAGTCATATTTTTATTGATGCAACTTCCTCTGTATTAATAGAACCAAGGGTATTTGTTCTTGTCAAACTTCTGTTTCCTCTATTCTCAAAGACAAATTGCTAAGTTTTTAAAAAATCGTTTAGATGGTGGAACTTGAGAAAAGAAAAAAAGTTTTTTGCTTGCAGTGTTAACGCCCCTATTGTTGAAATAAGAATAAGAATTTCTATGAAAATATAACCATTTGAAAAAAAGAATTATTGTTGTATGGATTCTTAAAGCAGAAAAAAAGCAGATATATGAAAAGGATTATTGTTTCTACGAAAAACAAACTATTTGGGGAGAATACTCATTTCTAACGTGTCCAAATATATCCTGGATTTTTCAAATAAACATATTGTACTGTGATATTTAAAAAAAAATTATATTTGAGGAAAGTGGTTTGGCATTATGTTAATGGGTTTAGATTATGGTTTATGATGAAGGATTACCGGTACAATAATGCTGAAGTACTGCTTCTGTTATTTACCTTGTTTCTTAAAAAGACTTAAAAGACATTGTTGCAGAATCTATTAGTGTCGGAAGAGAAGCAAAAAAAAATGTGATTAGAGAAAAGTGCTTTTTGTTAAACAATTCAGAGCAAGACCATAAACTTCCATTGAGTTGACTGTACTGTAGCAAACTGTAGAGGGCGTATGTCATATTTATCCAGCGAGCATGATTGCCTGCCTGTCTTGGCTTCCGTCGAAATCCAGAGAGTAATAAGTTTTCCAGCGTAAGTGAAAACTTCCTGGCTCTCTCTCTCTCTCTCTCTCTCTCTCTCATTCATTCATTCATTCATCCACATACACACACCATACACAAAGCCAACCTCAGGAAGCACACTGATATCCAGGGGGAAGTAAAGAGCCTCGGTGTGAATGGCTCGTTTGTAGGGGCGAACGTCACTTAGCAACACTTAGCAACCCAGTCCTGGAGATTTCCCTTCAACCCTGATGATGATGATGTCGTCGGAGGGAGTGAAGAGCCAGCAAGAGTGCTCTCTGCCGCCGCGTCATTCAGCTCCGACTCGCTGAAAGTTTGTCCACGCTCCTCTCCAACTTGAAAGAGGGCAGCGTCATTGGTTGATAGAACTTGATCGGAGGTTGGTCGTACTTCAAACTCTGAATCTTTCCCTGCATCGGTCTCTCCTTTGTCCGTACATGGCTGCTGTTTGTTAATCGCATTGAACAAACACCTTTTTTACTTTCAACCACTTAGTCTGAGACTTCCAGAAGAGTTTGCTGTATTGTACATCAATTGGAGACTTGGACAGTCTACAAATGCAAGGTTGACCCGAGAGGGTGCCTTTGGAGTTTGAGGACATCAGCTCTTGTGTTTCTCTTGGTAACTCCTCTTGAACATGCCATCCAGGACTTTCAGTGGACCTGTTGATACTGTCCCTCCTTCATCTACCTCCTTCGTTTCTAGCGTTGCAACCATGAAGACTCTCTCTTTCTCATCAGAGGTTTACGTTGAGATATTTGTAGGATGTGTCGTCTTCATACTGGTAGGTTGTTAGACTTGATCAGCTGGAAAAAAAATCACTCTAAAGCTTTTAATCTTTTGAAAATTGAGTTATAGACATGATCACAAAGACTTTAAAAAAAAATTACCTAAGGCAATTGTAATAACTGTGTTTATTACCTTTTCAAAAATATGAACATGACAGTGAAGTTTTACCTAATGCGAACATGATTCCAATGGGATATATACAATTGATCATTTATAATGCCCTCAAGTTGATTTCTCGAAAGTCTATGTGATTACTTTATGATATGAAAGTCATAAAGATGAGAAGTTGTGTAGATGAGCCTCTTAAAGGTTTAGATAAAGATGTGGTTAGAAGAATTCTAGTAAATGTTTGCTTTTGTTTGGTTATGTTCACCTGAGCTATTTGTCTTTCTGTGCATACATAACTATAGATCTGAATACGATTGTCTGCACAGTAGGATGAATCAAATTCAGTTGTAATTTCTGAGAAACAACATTCACTTCGTTTGAGTCTTCTTGAAAGTGATATGATTGTTGAGGAAAATGTGATTTTTGCTATAGCCAAAATGAGAGTTTCATGTGTATTTGTTGTACACAATGATTTTTATAGCCTTTCTAGTATGTGAACTTCAATAGAATTTTTGTGAGTTTGTCATTAATAAGCATGTTTGCATGACATGATAAAATTTATATTTGTTATCAATTGTTACTGGTGCAACTTCCTTTGTATTTATAGAACCAAGGATGTATTTGTTTCCATGTCAGGCTTCCATTTCCTCTTTTCGCTTTTGACAAATAACCAAATTTTGAAAATAGCTCAAAGCCCACAAGCTTTGTTTGGGTTCCTCGATTTTCTTCCTGTATGTACACCTGTATTACAGAAAAAGGAAAAGACGTACCGGTAAATGTTTATTTTGGTGCATCAATCGCACATTTCCCTCTCAAATTTACAATACTGAATAGCAGATTTTGATGCTGCATGGGTAAAGGGCCACTTCCTTAAACAATGCATGTTAATGGAAGAAATTATATGGTTTAACCTCATTGGTCCTAATTGGTCTTCCTATGTTTTGATATTTCCTTTTTTGACAGGAAGTTAAGACCCGCTCTCATTAGCACATCATTATTTCTTTGTCTGAAAATCTTTAAAGTTTGTACCCCATAGAGTTGATTGGGACCCATGAAGGCTGTTATGTACTTTGAATCATTGCTCAGGATTTCTAATGCACTTGAAACTGTCTAGTATTTCTGAATTGTTTAGACGATCAAGGATATAAACAAGTTTGTAGTGAGAATGTGCTGGTAATTGTAATAACTGATAAACACTTATATATGTTTATCCACTTTTCTTCTCTGTTTCTGAGCTATCCTGTACTTGTCATCAAGTTTTGTTTGGGTCTATTTTCGGTCTGTTAGTGTCCCCGGGGTATAACTATTTCAACCATGATTACAATTTTTTCGAAAAATCAACTCTTGTGTCCCATAAGAAAACATGTTTGGATTACATAATACGTCATTGTAATGTTCGCACATTTCAAAATGTGATGCACTAGGCTACTGAAAGTGGTTGATTTTTTAATAGTAGAAATGGTTGCTTTGTGTTTTCAAAACTCTAAAAGCCATCGTGCAGCAATACAATTGATATCATCTCCAACTATTAACAGGAAAACAGATTCAATGAACTAATACCAGGGTCGTGTTACCATCATTTAATAGCAAAAATCAAACTCTTAATTTGCATGTCATTAAGTGATACACGTACAAGTGAAACTCTTTCGTATCATTTTCCACTTTATATGAAACTGAACTTGTTATGTACAGCCCTGGATGAGAGTGCATAGCCGGAAGAGTAATAGTTTTCTGGGGGCGACTACTTTTGGTTTTCATTGCGTAGGTTGCTGTAGGTTTTGATAATGTTTTATTGTTTTTTGGTGCATATATTACTGTTACTATGATACAGACAATTATAACCTCATAAGGAAATAAACATTTTTTTCAAAGAATTAGGAGTGACTTCTCACTAAATATGAGTATAAAGCTTTACGACAATTGGTAGCCGTTTTTTAGTTTCATCAAGCTGCTGTACCATTGAAGCTAATCTTGAGCTATGGTATGGGAATTGAATTTTGATAGAAAATTGCTCTGCTTTATTCTGGATTGTGTATCCTGCAGTAGATTATCTTTATCTTTCTATGCTCATTACTCAGCCACTATACATTTTCTACCAAAATTGTTTGGCACATGTCATTTATTTGTAATCTTGAACATTCAGTGTAAGTTGCATTGGATTCTGTGAGAATTTATTTCCTATATTTACCAGAACTCAAGTTCATTTTTAATGTTGACTTGACAGATCATTCTCTATAGGAGTTGAGAAAGTGATTTATTGACTTTCTATATACATGGTGACTTGTGTCTAGGTCCGAGATAGCAATTGAGCATGATTGCTTTTATTTTCTTCTAAAAGTTTGTGAGCAGTTATCGCTTTCCAATGATTGCATTTATTATGTCAATGCCTCACTCACACATTAAACGTCTGTTTAAACCCAGAAGAGGGTTGATTCATGTACTTTGAAACATAGTTAAAGCACTTCTGACTGTTTAACCGACCAAAAAAAGTTGTTTCAGTTCATATATTTTGCATCTCTGAGAGTATTTCCACATATGAATACTGGCTACTGAAGAAAAAAAAATGTTTTCAAGATATTCATTGTGTCTCTTCTGTTTTTGTTTGTTCTTGCAGGCAAGCTCTTGGAGGAAAATTCGCAACATGGTTCACTGGTCACCGTTCGTCCAGTCCTTCAAGAAAAAATACCCCTGGGTCCAACTAGCGGGACATCAAGGTAAGCACTGTATTTTGGTATAAATTTTACTTGAAAGATGTTAATTAGTTCCTTTAAAGGTACATTCATTTAAAAAAAAATCCTTCTCTTTATCCACTTTCTTCTGCCTCCTCCATCATATGGATGATTCTTGCAGGCTGAATTTTTTGAAATATATATATATATTACCAGACGTCATAAATTGATATCTGTTATCATACAGGTCAAACTGTCAGATCAAGAGCCATTTTAAATGGTTTTGTCAAAGGTGCAATTTGAACATTTGTATGCTCACTCAACAAATCCATGATGGTTCGGCAAAGAGATGCGTGTACTTATGCCTTTCGCTACATGTTTTTACTGGCTGTTAATATGGTAGTACTTCTCATTTGGGGATCATATTTGAATGCATTTTTGAGATACATTCAAGTAATGAGACAAAATATGCCCTAACTCTCTACAAATATCTTGGAGTTGTTCTTACCCAAACAATTTCAAATCCATTTTTAGAATCATAGCTCATCGCGATAGATTCCAATTGTGTCTTCTTGACCCTTAACTCAGCTTTACTTCAATAGCATGTAAGATGATGTAGGGTTTCAGTACCCAGCAGATCTGCTAAAAGTGGTTTGCTAATTAACCAATATCCCATAGGCCACTGATGTAACACAGGATGCTGCTCTTAAATTGATCAGACAACTTTTTTATTTAAATTTCTCTCTTGTTATTAAAAAACATATTATTTGTTTGGAGCCAAAAGGGCGTTAGCTCAGGGTTAGAGCACATGAGTTAACACCCTTTTGGTTCCAAACATCCAAAAAGAAGGGTTAAAACTGGGACAGAAGCAACAACAACAACAACAGGGGGTATATTTGTGCTTTCTCATTTTTAAAGCTATCAGAAAAAAGTTATCTATTGAAATGCTTTCATACTTGTGCGAGTAATTGCTATTGCTATACCCTTTGTTCTGGGATTAAGCTCTGTCTCTACCCGGTAGTCAATATTAATGAAGAAAGCTGAGACTTGAGCTTGTTTTTTAAATAATTTGTCAGACAAAATTTAGACCCAGCGTAGGATTTAAGAGAATTAGTAGCATTCATAGCCCATAAGTTGTTCAATCTTGTTCAAACTGCCATTTTACCCTTCTCTCAAGTCTCAATGCTGCATAGCTATAGACTGCCAAGTCTACTTTGTTGAGTTGTTTCCGTTTTGTTTGTATGCAGAAAACTCTTCTGCTGATATCAGATCTTGTACATGAATGCTTCTATAGACAATCAGCATTTCAATTTAATTATAGAATCCAAGAATGTCGCTCTGATCACATTTGAGATTCCTGATATTTTACTTCCTAAGCAAAGCTATGATTTCAATTTCTGCCAAATTTATGACGTCCTCGATCAGTGGAAACTTCTTGATATTCAACGATGGCAATTGTCATTGTTTAATGTGATCTTCTAAAGATGAACATGCGTCATATTGTCAGCTGTGAGCTAGAATTGGCATTGATTCCAATTAAAATGTTCTTGCTATAACTAGATGATAAACATGAAAGGTTGGAAAAAAGAAGTTAGTGATCTTTTCTTTATAAAGATAATTTTAATGAAGTTTGCCGTTAGAACTTAAAAAGTGACAATATTATTCGAGGGATAGTTAAATTGTAATGCATTGATCCCCAATTATCATTTCTGCAAAACTATATCAAAAAATTGATGAAAATATATATTTCTGCAATGTTAAACTTCTTGTCAGTCTGGCAAGTAGAATTTAAAAAAAATGAATGGACATATCATTTTGCACTCACATTTGTTTGAATTGTGAAATGAGATCAACGCATGACAGCTTAATCCCCAAGACCCGCATGGTCCAGCTTGATGGTCGTGCGATAAGAACTTAATAACTAGTATCTTCCTGCCCATCCCGTATCCATGACAACCAAATTGCCCCTAGATACGCATCATCCCCTGCCAGCAGGCCGTGTGCCTATTTCTGGAGGACCTTTTCAAATATTGAAAGAGCAAGATGTATTAAAGGTGCGTTTCCACTAGACCAAGCAACTTTGAGCTTGAGAGATAAGACCGATCAGCCTTTTTTTGAGAAAATAGTTCCAAGCTTCCCCATCTCCATCAGCCAGAGTGGAACAAATCGTAGCAATCCAAACAAATTTCACTTCACCTTTTTTATGACGTGAAGTGTCACATGCCTTACCTTATAAAATAGTGCTCTGTTTGTTAGAGCACAATTGCCATTTATTTACACTCCCCCCCCCCCTTAAAAAAAAAAAATAATAATAATAATAATATTAATAATCGCTAGATGCTCTATTGCAGTAGTCACAAGGCCTTTTCTGAACAAGCCTTAATCGTGATTAGGCTAATTTTCCGAGATGAGAATTAATTCCGGTAGGCTATTTTGAAAATGTGAGTGAAATCGGAGCTTTTGCTTGATCCTGTTCAAATGTCAAACTTTCAAATGAATCCGAAACGCTATGGGTACTGTAAATATAGAATACCGGTAAGAAGTCTAGCTTTAGCTTATGATGACGTGAAGTGTAATTCGCTGCGCATTTCTGTATTTTATAAAATAGTGCTCAGTTTGTTGGAGCGCAATTGCCATTTATTACACTTCCAAAATATTAAATTAAAAATAAACGATAGATGCTCTATATTGTGGCAATTACCGCGCCATCTCCGAACAAGCCTTAATCGTGATTAGGCTAATTTTCCGAGATCAGAATTAATTCCGGTAGGCTATTTTGAAAATGTGAGTTAATGAGAACGGACTTATTGAGACAAGGAGGTGCAAAGAGAGAGAGAGAGAGAGAGAGAGAGAGAGAGAGAGAGAGAGAGAGAGAGAGAGAGAGAGTTGTGAAGAAAGTGAAATCGGAGCTTTGGCTTGATCCTGTTCAAATGTCAAACTTTCAAATGGATCTGAAACGCTATGGGTTCTTTAAATATAGAATACCGGTAAGAAGTCTAGCTTTCATGTGTTTGTGCTTTTTATATCACTGCTATAAAGGGTCCCCCCAGTCCTCATGTCATGCGTTAGTACTATTTGGTATAAAGATTAAAAAAAGGATACAAAAAAATGCATCATCTTGTTCAATGTATATAGCAGAAATTGTATTTGTGTATCTCTTTAAAAAATTGTTAAATATTTGAACCAGTGTTTCTTTTGACCTTTATGTTTCTAAATCAAGCTTGGTACATTTTGACATGAGATTATGTAAATTTTTAACCACGTTCGTATATCCTATTGTTTCTCACATCAGTTCGCAACTGTCCACTTTCCCTGTATAATTTCATTTGCATTATCATTTTAGTATGACATTGTTTTGTAATTGGTTTTGTTAGTTGTTACGTGAGATGTAGTTTCAAGGATTCTTTCTTGCATTAATTCATTTTTGTAAATCATTGCATTTTCAAAAACAAATTTTGGTTTAGTCCATAGTTATTGGTGGGGGAGTTATAGATTTTTTTAGCTAACAGTGAGTTCACTGAGCTGACGAAAAGTGACCTGTTGATAATACCCAAGTTATGTTTATTTCCAGTGTGATTAAAAAGGAATTTTTAAAAATAAATGTACATATTTATAGAATTAAGAGGCTACAAATATGGAAAATTAATAGTTATTGCCAAATCTTTGATTATATTAGTAATCCTCTCATATGGTTTTGGTTTAGTTTAGAGAGGAAGAGTAGCATTGCAAGCTATTTTCTCCCACGTTGACGTACTCAAGCACACCGTCCACTTAATCCCATATCTCTGTTCGTCGTCATAATCATTTCATTTTCGGCACTGTTTTGTTTTGGTTTGGTTTGTTGTTATGGGGGGACGGGATGAGGTTTCAAACTATTTTCTCCCCCAGTCATGACGTGGGCAAGCAGTCCACTTTTCCTGTATCATCGTATCGCTTTTCGTCCTCAAAAAAAAATCAACCCTGTGCAGCTGTTGCGTCGCTGTAAAATATAGGAAGCGAGTGACCGCAACGTGCCAAGAGTTTGCGAGGAAGCTCAGGCCCGTGCGGACTGAGACCTCAAGATAAATAACGTGTAAAAATATCCCTGTGGCGGGATCCCGATATGGGGTAGGAGGGCTATTTTTAGGAGGTGACCTACTGAAAAGTGCTTTCCTTGAGGATATAGGCTGGAAGGCATACATGGAGTCATCACCGTGTCCACAAGAGTTTTTTTTTTGATAGAGATATGTGACTTTAAGGGGGTGAGAAGTGAGAAAAAGAGAAATGTTGCAAGTTTTATAAAGGGGATTTACTTTTAAAGGTCATGTTTGGAGCTGGGCCCATTCTGAAAAAAGAGTTGCGATTGATTGCAAGTCCTCCAATCAGTTGCAAACTTAATTATAAAGTCCCATCTCTTCAGTACAAAGTTACAATTATATCAATCACAACTGTTAAGACAGCACCCTGATGCCTTTGGTGTGGAAAGGAACTGCTTGTAATTTATAAGGAATGGTTAAGAAGTGAATAGGATTGATTGTGTATTAATTTGTTTGGACCATAGTGTAATTGGACAGTATGTTTTTCTATTGAGATAGCTGAAATGAGGGACAGGAATAAGTATTCACATTCTCACTTTTAGAAACAAGATTACTAGCTCAAGTGTGTCACCAGAGAGCTAATACTGTGTTTCTATGGGAATAATTATTACCATAACACTTACATATAGGTGCTTGTTATTGTCATGCTGTGAGCATTTGCAACATTTTTATATTATTTAGGATATAGGCTCTTGAAGAATGAAAGTGAAATAAAGATATTTGTTTCAAAGATCCAAATACGTACAACTTTACAAAAACAAGAACATTTTATTTCTGTCAAGATATTTTTGTGACATTCAAGGACTGTTTCATGCACATGATGTATTTTCGAAGTAGGAATGATGTTATTAAATCAGAAATATACAATACCGTCACATGATATCTAAAGACAGATTTTAATAACATAACAAGTCACCATGGAGACAAACATATTGATCACATCTTGTTATGTTCTCGTGTCTTCAACGT